GCCTCCGAAAAGCTTTTTCCAGATCATCTCAACCCACAGAGAATGTTCCTTCCATTTAATTCTAGTCACACTATTTGCACCTTCCAGGTTCACAACCACATATTGCCTTTTGTTGATATTTATTTCCCAATATTCTTATTTCCCAAATCAAGCTCCTAAAGAAAAGTACCTTTTTATATGCTTTATGCCTATGAATGACCCACAATGCCTAGCACTGTGCAGCATGCAGGAGGTGCTCAAAACAAAGGAGGAGCTGAAGGGATAAATTTGACTTCAGTAGCTTTAATAATAAGGATAATAAATATCTCCTAGCACAGAGCCTGGTACATGGTGAGTGCTGAATTAATATCTGTTAAATAGATTAAGAAAATGTTCTTAGATTAAGAAAATGTCCCCCATTACTCTTCAAAAACTTCATACTATCTCAACTCTTTTCCAATCTGACATGCAACAAAACTTGGACATAAATATGTTTATTAGACATTTTGTAAGGAGTCCAACAGTTGATGGTTTTATATAGAACCTTTTTCCATGAAAAAGTCCCATGTCAACAAGCCAAATCCATCTTCATCTACACACCCACAACCCTTGGATACTCCACACCCTAGCAGAATTTCATATTCTATGCAGATGCGCACTTTCGCCTCCTTGGTATTTCTGTCCGGTGTTCACACTGCCCGTTGTGCCTCCCAAATGCTCCTGTGCTACCTTTTCTCTATGCTTTGGTTAAGTCAGGTCAAAGACTTAAACAATTATGGCACAAGAATTATTTTCAGGAAACGAAGAGAAGGGAGGAGCCGACTAGTTCTGGTGTAAGCCAAAGAGCCAAATGGCTTAGGCAAAACACTTTCATATTTTGATTTTGGCTCTTGGCATTAAGACAAGAATCACTTTATGGCTTCCAAGTCTTGGAAAAGTTCAACATCTGACACACTGACATTTGAAAACCAAGATCACACTTAGAAATCAGTGCTACTTTACTTTACAGATGAGAAGTAGAAATCCTAACTTGGAGAATACCATGAAAGGTACAACTTACATTAAGACTGAATGTGCAACAGACATGATGCTTTGAACAGAGACACATACACTATTTGTTAAAAGAATGACTTTAAAATACTAAATATTTACAACTTGTTTCTGTGCAAGGTCTTGAGCCAGGTGCTGTGTAAGATACACATAAAATAACACACGACCCTTGCCCTGGTATTGGATGAAAGAGTTGCATGTGGTCCATCAAAGTGTATGTCTTGGTGTAATATTTTTGGAAAGGCATTTGAAGGTGTCAATTAAAGCTGAATATAAACTTAAACTATGATACAGTAATTTGGCTCCTAGGTAGACACCCAAGATAATGAAGTCATGAGTATTAAGCATGCACAAGAATGATCATGGAGCTTTATTCACAATCATCCAAAACAGGAAACAACCCAAATCTCTAAACAGAATAGAAAGGACAAGCACATTTCATTTATTTACACAAGAGAACACTACACAGCACTTTTTAAAAATTAATCTATTGCCACACATAATGCTATGAATGAATGTCACCTATTCAGTGACTAGTGGGAATGTGGCAGGAGTATGGCAGGAATGAAGAAGAGATCAATTCAAGAGATATTTAATGGAGATATTTAAGTCTCAAACGGAGAAAGAGAACACAAGAGGAGAATTAGGATTGAGAGAATGATGAGTTTAGCTCTGAACATGCTGGTTACAGGCATAAGTAAGAAAACAGCGGAACACTCAGTATTTGTGAGGTTTACCCTATATATGTTATATTTTAACAAAAAAGTTTTAATGAAAGTTTTCAGTGGAACAACAAAAGCCTGTGGAGGGCCAGGCCTCACAGTTAGGCAGCAATGGCAGAGCTGGGGAGCAGGTGTCCAGCTTTAACCCACACAGTCCATTGATGGGAATCACGTGACTTAGGTCCCATGCACCACTCTGAACGTTAGTCCCAATGTGTGAATTAACACAGTGTAGTTCCCACCCTGGAAGGTCTTATTGTTTAATGTGATCGTAATGTCCGTGAGGAATTAAATTTTCTATGCAAAATATTATATGATGAGAAGATATTTAATAACTATCTATCAAGAACCTAGTACCAAGTGACAGGTACAGCCTACAAATGCTTAAGAGTTGACAGGTTGGAGAAAACACTTGTGAGCTGGATGCTCAGGCAAAGTTTCTTGAAGAACATGGGAACTGAGCCAGAATCTAAAAGGTTAGGAACAGATGCAGAGGTTGCCAAGTGTGGCCTATACAAGTGTTTTATCTGATTTTTTTTTAGTTGGAGTTAGCACAGTCTTTCAAGAGGCAGTGTGACTAGGATTGTGGACAGCCATCACCTTGTATCTATCTTGCTTTATGAATATGTGCCAGTTTCCTAGCCATCTGAATATGGAGTGTAACGCAAACAGAAGAGGATGAGGGCCTAAGTGAGTTCTTAGATTGCAAAAATAGTTTGGGCCCAAATCGTAGAGCACCGTGAATGCCATACTGAACACATTCTGTTGGCAATATTAGATGAGAGCATGACACACATGTTTTACAGCTCAGTAGTGCTGGGCCAATTGTGTGACTAGCATTAAAACAGTAAATACTGTAAGCAGCTTCTGGTTCTTTCAATGTGATGCCAAGCATATGAGCCTTTGGAAGTGGATTTCTGTGCGCTTTCTTTCAGAACTTTTGATATTCTGCAGATACAGCTTCTGTTTAGGCAACTGAAGGAGGACAGCTTATACAAAGTAGGTTAAAAAAATGGTAAGACTCTTAACTCTTAGAGGAATGGTAAAAGAATTAGAAAATAAAACTATAGATGCCAATTGTAACAACCTCCAGGGTGTTTATTACGGGAATAAAATTGTTTGAAGCCTATAACTCATTCTGCAAGATGTTGCTGGCTAGAGGAAGAGTTCTCATGCAGTAAAATTACTGATGTAATTACTACTCAAAACAGTTCTGTTATCTAAGGTATCCACTTTCTCAGGGGCTGGTCATAACCAATGATTAATAACTCTATTTTGTGCATACATGTGTATTGAGAGATGCTTGAAATATTTAATGACTTGTTATATTGAAGATCAATATACAGAAGAAATTGTCCTAATTTCTCCTTTGACTTTATAAAGCAAACCTTTCATGCTTCTTTATCTGTGGCTTAAAACATTTGATTATAATTTTTATTGTTAGCATAACCTTTGATAGAAATAAACTCTAGCTTTATTTAATAGAATTACTAAGGGTAGTGGTATGAAAATAGAAATACTTTTGCAAAGTTGGACACATGATGCATTTTAGCAGAAATAGAGAATCCTGATCACTGAAAAATATTAAGACTAGAGATATGAACTCATAATTTTAAATATATAAAGACAGACATATAAATAGATACGAACTTGTGTGGGTAAATATATTTATGCAGCTATTTCGCAGCTCTGAGAGTAGTGTGAAGCAATGACAGACCAATAGCAAGGAGCACGCCCAGCACTGAGAGCTTAGTTTTCAAATATTCTCCACTAAAATAGGGACCAGGGATCCTTTGAGAAATGGCTGATCCCAGGTTTGGAGCAAAGAAAATGCAAGATGAGCCTAGAACATATTCTTACAACAGAAAGTTAAAAGGTGCATAAAGAATTAGAGAAGCATGTCAAAAGGATAAGTGAGCCTTCTTGAAAGGGTGTACATTGGCCAAATCTGGGATAATGGAAGCATCAAAATGAATAATGGTAATAATAGATTATAACCCATTGAACAGGATAAGAACTCATAGGTCCACCTTGAAAGATGGATGGAGGGAGGGAGGGAGGGAGAGAGGGAGAGGGAGAGAGAGAAGAGAAGAGAAGAGAAAGTTCTTCCATACCATAGGAAGCCAACTAATAAACGTAGAAGAAATGATGGAATTAGAAAATTGCCATTTGACAACCACCATGACAATAATTAATTTGGGCAAGAATCATCAAGAGACATAAAACAAGGAGGTGAAAATTTGAAGAGGAATAGGATACTTAGTCTCAGTGAATCTCCTCGTAGTTGCTTATTAATTTCAAACAAAAAACAATAACTTCACTGGGGAGGAAGCTGGAAGTCCCACTTTAACCAAAAGATCAAAGTTGAAAACATGAGTAATGGGACAAGCTGACATCATGTGTTCCTGATCCGGTGTTTGTATGTACATATAAAGTAAAAAGCTCAACAGCAGTTCTTTAAAACATTTACACCAGCAAAATACTTGGGTAGGAATTTAGTTTTGCTTCTCAGTTTTAAGTAAACTCTGATTTTGCTTGAAGACTTTTTTAGCCCATTTTTATAATGACTATCAAATTCCTAGATGTTTTGTTCAGTTATAGTCACATAAAGTTAAGAGTCTAGAATTCAGATGTCCTCTAAACTATTTTTTACAGTACAGCTCTCAGGCATGACAGGTTGCATATGTGGCCAGTTATTATTGTTTAAAAAACTCTCCTCATATATGGTTATTTCCTATATGTTCATCTTGTTTTTTTTAAAAAAAATCAATGAGACAAAAATCAAACAAAAATCATATTCCCCTTTTTGCTTCTTTGTTAATAGGAAACAGCATATTTTAGTGTTCTACTGCAGTAGCTACATTTAGTTAGGTAGATGTATATACTTTTTATCTTTATTTGACAAGATCTTTTATCTTCATTTTGTGGAAGTAAATGTAGTATATCCAATAATGAAAGAAACCTCTTCTTTTATTTCACTTACCAACCCACCAAATGTACTGCAGATATGCACGTATTTATTTTAGTATAAAACCATCAGAACCTACACTACTGCATTAGTCCAGGGTTAAATAATAAACTTTTGGAAGAGAAGGTAGGAATGATTTTATTTTAAAGTGCTTCAAACTGTACATATTGCCCATAGGTTACACGTAATAAGTTATTTTGCTAATGACATGAGCGTCATCTGAATTTTTAAAAAGATAATGATTCAGGTCTTACTTCAGTAGTATATAAAGAAAAATATACCTCATGCAGACAAATGAAAGCTGGAGTTGTAGATAAATCCACAAACCGCTCATCTTGGATGTTAATTGTAGGCAGTATGGCATAAACAGGGTCTCCTTGATCCTTTTTGCCTTCCTCCTCTTCCTCTTCCTGTTCTGTGTCTGTGTTACTGTCTCCCATTTTTCACAGTTCTAGAATAAAACCATTCCATATTTAGTTATTTAGGGATGTCTTCACTTACAAAGTAAAGTTGATAGGAAATAATAAAAGCAAGCAAAGCAACTGGAGTAAGCTATTCAATGAAATTATAGATCAGGAAAGTTATTACAATCACATTATTATCAAAGGCTGTTTTGTTGTAAGGATACTCTCCATTGATACACTCAAATCAATAATTCTAACTTTAAAAAGTAGGCTATTGTTGGATTAATTGGGAAAAAATTACATAACTAGAACATAAGCTCCATGAGGGCAGACACCTCATTTTGTTGACTGAGCATTGTACTAGGCAATCAATTACTAATCATTGATAGCATTAATAAATAAAACCTTCATTCTTAAAATAGAATACAAAGTTAATTGAAATTAATTCTGGAAAAATAAAAACCAACACTCTGTGGCACCCATTCTGCCCTAGGCATGCACCTGTACACTAGGCCACCAGGCTAACTGCTCAAAGCCCACACTGCTGCATGGCCACAGCAGGCCTGTGCTCGTGCATGCTGCCACCCGGCCCGTCTCTGCTGCTCATGTGCATGCTCAATTGTCTCATCAGACTTCACTTGCAAAACATAAGCTCAAAAATGAAATTATTAAGGAGTTCAAGATGGTGACACCAGAGCATTAAACCAAGTGTAGGGCCCTTCTGAGAGTGGGTCCTTATAGGATTGCCCAGGTCACACACCTATGAAGCCAGCCCTGTGTACTGGCCATAGATCTGCTCATAGAGTCAAGTAGACCCAGAGTAGATCCTTAAAAGGACCCCTGTCTTGGCCTGCAAGGTTTCTATTGGCTCATTTTGGTGGCTTTGGGATGTCAGCCCTTCCAAGAGAGCTGGTAAGAAGCCTCTGTCACATAAAAGAATGCCAATCTAATGCTCTTTTGATCTCTGACACATGTGAATCTGCACTCAACAGAAGAGCATATCTGCATTCTTCTCTTGCCAGAGAAGATAACTCCAACTGTCATAAGTTTAAGGTCTGAATCTTCTGTATCATCTCATATCTATCTTATAGATTAGCTGCTCCCTGATGCTAGTGACCCCCATTCTTTTAACATGGAAAAATATGTTCTATAATATGGATCCAGAAGGCATAGCAGGCTCAGGTTCCTGAATTTATTAGTCAAGTGGCCACAGGCATGTCATTTATTCATTGTCTCTTTCCTCCTCTCTAAGATAGGAGTGACAGTAACTAACTTTTCTGTTTCATAAAGAATATATGCAAATTAGATGTGATGATGCCTCTGGACTTCCAGCATCCATTCTGCTAGCTCCAGTTTTCTGCCACAGCCACAAATTACACATGTACTTGTCTTTCTCCTCCTGCTACAAAAAATACTTCATAGGTGGTTGTGTGGACTTCCATCAGGAGGCACCAATGACTGGTTGTTGTCTTTCTTTATGTGATGTTAATAGTCAATGATATTGTTTGGACCTTCCTTCCTTTATCATACACAGTTTTTAATGCCATAAAGCAGTTTTTTAAGAGAACCTATTATTATTCATATTATTATTACAGCATCACAAGACTACATTTGGCCAGTAATCACAGTTTATCATTTAAATCTTCAGGGAGCTGGAAATGGTTTGGTGATATATCTAGATTTGTTTGTGTTAATAAGCTAAAATATGTATGTTCAATTATTTCATAGATGAAAATGTTAATGACTTTCTCAAGCAAATATTTCCTTCAGAGCATTAGACTGTATCTATCATTTTTAGCTTTTTCTTTAAGAAATATTTCTTTTTGTAATTGAAGTACAGTCAGTTACAATGTGTCAATTTCTGGTGTACAGCACAATGTCCCAGTCATGCATATATATACATACATTCATTTTCATTTTAAGAAATATTTCACATATAACCATAGTAACATAAACAAATATCAATTCATGAGTAATTTGGTTTTATCCAAACATTTTTCACTTCCCCTTTCCACTCTCCATATTATTTTGAAGCAAAACTTAGACACCAAGACTTAATAATATATTGTGAAGAATGCCATAATAATATACAGAGATAGTTCTCATTCCATTTCACAGCTGCATAGCTCTCCTTTGCATAGACGTGCCACAAGCTAGTCAAATAATTCCCTATTTATAAATACATGGAATGTTTCCAGTTTTCTGTTATTACAGTTCTGCAAAGTATACTACATCTATTTATTTAAAAGTATATTTTGAAGGCTTTTGGAATCTTTATAATCAAGTTGGCATTAACTTGAAAATTTAAGTTCAGGAATCTTCTCAAAGCATAGCAACTTTAAATAAGGTTACCTAGGCAACAAAAGAAGTTGCTATGCTGAATTTGTACAAATTCCTCAGTCTGCTTAAGGTTTCAATCTCTATTATCTTGAAAACATTCTAAATATTTTAAGGCAGGTAAAAACATTTAACAGAGGGAAGCAATTAACAGACACTATAACAGAGTTCTGATAGACATTATCAGACAAAATTTGACCCTTACAAAACAAAGGAAGACTAAGAAAGTAATAAAACACAATAGAAGCAAATACAAAGGTCTCATATGAATTCAAATCTAAAACACTAATTAATCTAATTAAATAATAGGGACAAAAAGGCTTAAGTAGCTAGCAAAGTTTAACAGATAATATTCAAGGATTAGTTAATATAGGATCTCAAAGCCCACTATACTAATATTATTATGCTGCAAGCAATATGATTAATTGAGAGCTGTAAATAAAACAAAGGAATAAAATATATTCTCAAGCTACAGTGATATAAACAACAGAATATTTACAAAACATCTTACATTCCTGGTGCAGGAGGAACTACATAGCTGTCAAGTATAGTGATTCTAGAGACGTACATCTCTGCAATATCGAAGTCAGTTAAGCAGATATTTATTGAGTTGTTTTATGAAGACCAAGAGTTTACAAAGATGTGATTTACAATCTAAAGAGGAAGCAAGGCAGGAAAATAACTAGTTCGATATAATACAAGGTAAGACAAAATAAACCTAAATAAAAAGCCATGTTCTTAGGAAGGTAGATAAGGCTTAAAGAGCAGATTGTAGCTTAGAATTTAGATTTTCATCAACAGGTATTGGAAGCCTTACACCTTTGGCAGGGTGGAGTTAAATCTGAGTTTGTAAAGATGTTGGTGACAGTGGGAATAGTGGTTTGGAAAGGGTATGAATTTGGAGGCAAGGAGACAACTTAGAGGCTATGAGCCAGCCGCTGTGCTGTGGGTAGGAGACAGATGCAGTGGTGAGCAAAACCAGACGAAGTCCCTGGCCTCACGGGGGCTCACAGACTGGTACCAAGATAGCAATTAATCGAAGAATCACAGAGATAAATATAAAAGTACGAAGAACTGAAATAAGTGCTGTGAACGTGTGCACACAGAAGCAGGAATACCCAGCACTGCACATTCCCAGCGGGCGCTTTTCACGTAGCAAGTTGTGCAGTGAGCAGCCCTGACCAGAATGTTAGATGTTGAGAGCCTGAGCCCAGGGAATACCATGGGATGCTGCAGGAGTCCAGAGAAGAGAGGGCATGGCTGTATGAGGCCTTCTAGAAGGGAGAGGACATGTACTGAGCTTTGACACAGAAAAGCAAAAGGCCAGGGAAGGAAAAAGTAAGATAAATAAAAGCTTTAGTTCCATTACAGAAGAACACTGAACTCCTATATTATTCACACTTCATCTCGGGGCTAAAAGATAGAGCCAAAACAGGAAGCTTCCCGAAGAATAATTAAGCAATAAACATTGCAGGGTATGCCTTGTTTTGTAAGACACACCACTACTTCCTCTTCTCGAAAGTTAAAGGGGCGATCATTAATTTGTTTTGATTTTGAACTCTTAAGGAAATTTTTCAACAGTTACCAGGTGCACACATGAAAAACCAAATACCCTATGCACCAGAGAATGGGGCAGGATATACAAATGATATGACATTGTGAAGGTAAAATGATAACACTTGCTTTAAGAAAGATGTAGCAGGAAACCAGGATGACTTGTCACTGAACCAGCACAAGTTTTGCTTATTTTAGAATAGCAGGGTAGAATGTAAAGTCAAACATGGTATTTCTCTCCCAGTGCCACACAGAACCTGAGCATTCTGTTTCATAATTTAGGTCTTCTAACTGCCCTGGGAACAGAATGTAATCACATGCTCCTTTCCCCAGCACTCATAGCTATAAAAGGTTAGTTCCATGACCCTTTCTACAGTAACTCAGAGCTAGATCCCTGGAGGAAGGCGAAAGTCTGGGACACCTAATTTTTTTTTTTCAGTTTCCTATATTCATTAAAAAACACCGAAATGTCAAAATAGGGTTATAAAAAATTGTGGTATATTTAAAGTTATATGGCAAGTGCCTCTCAATCCTGTCAGTGTATCTCTATGATTATATGAATATTCTCTTTTGGAGATAATGTTAGGCTTTTCTTTCTGAGAGGCCTCTTGTCCACAAACTGACAGGCTCAGAATACTGGGCAGCCAACCCGACATGCAGCCTACAGGTACCTCAGATCCACTTAATTCAATAGCAGCAGCAGCAGCAGCAGCAGATCCTAGGACCTTGGCAGTTCTAAATGCAACCGACACAATTATTGAATTTATTTATTTCTATATATAACTATATAATATTACACAAAGGCAAGATTAGACTTGAAATATTTTTTAAAGATATAGATACAGATTTCAGGTCATTTCTTTAAAAAAGAGGGAGTAGAAAAGCTTTGTCGTTCAAAGAACCAACAGATCAAACCGCAACTTCTTTCTGTTCCTGAAAAAAACAAAAGAAAGAAAAAAACCCTCTCAAAAAAGAATCCTGAAAAATAAAAAACAAAACAACACAACTGCACAACATTCTGGCACAGGAAAAAAAACTGCCATCAGTATGTACAGATAAATTTGTCTCATAATCAAAGTGTTAAAGTAACACTTGGCTTGGACACCTGTAACATGTGGGTTGGACCATCTTTAATTAAAAACATACATACACATAA